GTTTTTCAGCTGTTAAAAGAGTTCCAAAACAATCAAGCGTCTTCCTGGAAGTTTACCCTTAACTTTGCCGGAGAGCACATTAAGGCCTCTGCTCCAGCCGTAATAATAAAAGATCTTTTTAGTGGTCTAAATTCTTGGTTCATGGCACATACATGCCAATGTTAGCCAACTATAAATAGGAAGATCTGGGAGAAAAATAGGGGGAGTCTTTATAACCCCGCTGAAATACAACAGGGTTTTTTTCAAAGATGAAAATGGTTCACATTTTTATGAAATTAGGGTTTGTTCCTTGTGTCCCCTTAAGCAGAGCCAGTAGTGATGGTGTGTTGCCAGTGGAAAAGAACAAAGAAGTCTGTATTCTTTCTTAGTACATATCTTCTACCCTGAGTTCTATAATTAAGATTGCATCCTTATAATGGCCTTTAGAGTTGGGGGAATCTGTGGGATCTTTTGGAGACTTTTCCCCCCACCTCTGCTTTGTTACCCCAGAATCCTAAAACACCTTTCAAAGGGCCAAATTATGCCTATGGTTACATGTACAAATGAAGTCAGTGGGGGATTGTGTGTTACCTAAGGTGGGCTTTGCCCCAAAATAAATTGGGTTACTCATTATATCTAGTTGAGCAGCCTCAGGTGCCATTTTTTCAAAAAAAAAAGCCTTTTGGGCACGATTCTACTCAGTCGGCTCAATATGTCTGACATTCTCAAGCGTTCTAGATTGTTCCACTAGCTGTATAAAGCAGCTCAGAATAATTTTTTTTAAATAATGCTACATCTTAGTTTCAAACAACTATTTTCTCATTATATTAGATCATGCTTTCAAACTCAATTCGTACTCGCAATGAAGCTACTCCAAGATGCAAGGTTTGCTATGCTTGCAAATTAGTTCTTGCAAATTAGTTCACCTAATTTTGAATCTATTACAACTGTCTCTCTGGATGGTTCATCTTTGAAGTAGATGAGAACTAACCAATTCCCACAATTTAGTCATTGTACTGGGGATGTGCAAATTAGCCAGCACTAGGTAAACGCATCACTTGTTTTACAAATGCAGTTTTTAATGGTATAGTATTTTGCATCTAGATACCATTCTGAGATGTTACAGATGATGAAATGGACACGGCTGTTTCGAGGTCACCAAGTCATTTAGTAAAGGAAGCAGTAATATAATTAGTATTGCTTGATTCTTATGCCCCCTTTTCTAAATTAAGTTGGGTTTGAATTGACTAGAGGCTATCTTTCCATGCTGACAACTGAGTATATTGCATAAAAGTAGCAAAAGGTAATAATCCTCACTGATGATTATATTTCTTAGAATTTCTCTATTAGATCTTGGAGGAAGTAAAAAGTAAGACCACTCGGTATATGCCAATTAATATGGTGGAAACTCGGAGTCATGCAAAACTAAAAACTTCATTAATCCAGGTCATGTGTGTAATTAAAAAAAGATTCATTTAAGGAACCCAAATATGTTCAGAAAATTATATTTCAAAAAACCTTCTCAATGTCAAGTTCATCAAACTGTTAATTATAGATCAATTCAAGAATGACATCCAATTACATATGGCCACAGCCAAGGCAATCTTAACAGTTTCCATTGAAAATCACAGTTTGCTGTCGTGGGCAGAGTGCTGCAACACGGTGCAAATACCGCTTCAGAAGTTTACTGATCGTGTAACAACAACCACAACTACAACAACAAACATAAGCAAATTACTAAAACAGTTCGAGCTCAGCCATTCTGCCTCTGAAGTCCATTTCTTTCACTCGTCAGTTCTTCCTAAAACCTGCATTTTAAGGAAAGTACCCAGGGTAGTGCTGGAGATCCTTGGAGAGACTGATTTCTAACTCTCCAGAACACCCCCTGTACCTTCCCATTAGAATATAAGCTCCTAGAGGGCAGGGCCTATCTTTCCTTCTGCTCATTATTTTTGTTCCCAGAACTTAGCACAAGTATTTATAAAATGTCTGTAGAGTTGAGCCTCAGTTTTTCATCCACAAAATGGGGACAGGAGTATCTGCAGAACCTACTGTGCAGGGTTTTTGTGAGGTTCAAATGAGGCAATGTATGTAACAAACTTTAAAGTGTTGTGTGAATGTCAGCAATTGTTACTATATTTATGGTGAAAATGAAATATCCTTATGACCCAATTACCAATGATGCAAGTGTCTGAGTAACCAGTTGCCTTCATCATCATGGTACTCCACATCAAAAACTGGTCAATTCCATTTGAGAATAGAATCAACCTATGTAATTAATATATATAATATAAAACATTAATAATCATAACATAATTAACCTATGCAAATCACTTTGAAAACCTTGAAGTGCTATATATTGTTATTATTACCCTCATCATCAGTTGAAGTCTAACATCCTACTGAGAAAACTGACTAGTCCTTTGTTAATGGAAAACAGATAGTGTCATCATTTCAGAAGCGATGTCTCAAAAGAAATTCTAGTTCCTTGTTTTGTTCAAATCCTGTTATGAAATGCTCCTATTGTCCATAGAAATAAAGCTACATTGATGAGTCTCTGATGCCCAATGCCTCATGGACCAAACTGGACACCAATACCACGAGAAGCACCTCGTCACAGGATTATAGAAAGCTAGGAGGCATCTCCGAGGACATCTAGTCCAACCCTCTCATTGTATAGATGTGGAAAATGAGGCCCAATGAAATTAAGTGACTTGGCCAAGGTTTGGACTGGAACAGGATTCGAACCTAGGTCTTCTCATCGTAAAGCCAGACTGCTGTTGTGGTTGTTTGTTCTTTGTTGTCCAAGATGACCAATGACATCAGATGGTGACGTCTTGACTGACAAGCGAATTGGATTTGAGTGAGGCAGAGCTGTGCAAAGTCAAGAGCTCCCCACCCCTGCCATTTTACAGAAACATGAGGCAGGGTGGCATACTGGATAAAACGCTTAATATGGAGTTAGGAAGACCTAGGTTCCAATTTCACGTCCAACGCTTAGCAGCCACTTGACCATGGACAAGTCACTTAACCTCAGGCACTTATCTAAATTATAAGTTACAGATGGGTTGCAATTTGTGCTTGTGGAGGAAATTCTCAAGCCAACAAAATCAAAAGTCCTAGATAATAATGGCAACAACTTATAAGCATCATATCTTCATTTCCTATTTGTTGTTGGTTAATGAAATAACTTGCTTTGCGAATTGTCAAAGAATCTACAGTTGCAGGGACATTAGAGACTGCCCACTCCCACCCTTTTGTGTTTAAGATAAGGAGCTGAGGTCCAGAGAAATTTGATGGTTGGCCCAAGTTACACACTTCTTGTAAAAATGAACTGGATACATCTCAGGAAAAGGCCATAGATTAGGTCAGAATAATAACAATTTAAAAAGCAACAATGTAGGTCTGTTTTAATTCTCTTTCAATTTGAAGGATGAAGAAAAGCCTGATTGTGCCTTTCTAACTTCAGTTGAAGTAGCCAGGCGGTAATCCAGAGATACAGGCAAAATTAAAAAGAAAAACAAAAAAATCAATGGACACAGCTTCCTGTTCCTCACCTTGGGTGCTCTCCTCTAACCATGGTCACAGTAGGGATGGGGCCACTGTATTTTGACCATAGGAGGAAAACTAATCAATTGGCCTCAAGACACATATCCCTGGAGGTACAGTGTACACATAGACTGCCTGTGGAATGGGCTAGGGACTACTAAACCTGAGAATGAGACCTGCCCCATGAGTCTGGCTTCACCTTCCTCTCTGTGAATATCTCTAAACTTCTTCCTCTCTATAATAACCAATCATTTTTCACAACACAATCTCAGTATTACTTCAAAAATGGGTCAGGAGGTTAAAAATATGCCAGAAAAAACATTCTCAGAACTGGGGATCACTGCATGGGATAATTAAAACTTGATAACATTCCTTCTTTAGCCAATATTCATAGAGAAATGCATGTGACCTCTTTTAAATAAAAAACTACTTGATTTATATATTCTATATCATACTAAAACATTAATTAGTATATAATAAACAAGAAAAAATAAGTCTAATTCAGTGCAATGAGGAATTTTTTTTTTCTAAATGTGAGTTCAGACAGAATAACTTCTTACATTTTACCAACATATAAAGGAATGTGATGATAAAACTCTTTTAAATAATTCCATGAGAATTTCCCTAAAAAAAAATCCCATCACACTACACTCACTAATACTAAAGATGAGACAAACTATTTAAACTAAATAACTTAAACTAAACAAATAAGGTGGTTTTCTTGCATTTCATTTTCCAGGTGATAGGGCCCAAGTAATCAGATTCATCATCATAATAAGCCAGTATACATAGGAGACTCTCCCAAGTTACTCTGCTTTGAAAAGCATTATAATTTTTTAATCAAATCCGTTGGGTTTCCTGATTTTTCTTGAAATTTGATTTTTTAAAAAATTATTTAAAAGACAATGCCAGCAATTTAATAAGGATTTCTTAATCTCCATTTAATTCTATCAAAGATTTCCCAGTAGGTTGACTTAACTTTTTGTTTAATTTAAAAAGATGTCTGAGTAACTTTTTATATGGTGATACTTCTTGGAATAATCAATTTCCAAACTTGTAATGAATTAAAATTCTGCAGTGAAATACAGGCATTTAAAGAGTGACAAATTACAGCATCTGGTTCAAATCACTTGAGTAGAGAGAGATCTTTGTGATAAGTTGTGAGACTGTGTTAGACATCAAATATTATATCATTCATCCATTATATCAAAATGTTTAGGCTGGTCAGTAGCACTCAAAATTATACTCTAGTAATGATGTTTCCCCAGACTTTAAAGCCTTTTTTGGAACCCAGTAAACCTCCAGAATACTGAGCATTGACAAATTTGGGATGTGTACTCCAGGAAAAAATTGATATCATATAACAAAAATAATGACAAAGTATGCAATGTTAGCTCTGGCCCAGAAATTTAACAAAGAGAAAAAGATTGAACAAAATCAAAGAACAAGGAACAACCATTTTAAAGACTTACTTATTCCATGCTTGTCTAAGGTTTTTAGAGCTGTACAGGGTGAAGCGTTCTGAAAAAGAAAGAAAGAAAGAAAGAAAAATACCAAATTACCTTTATTGCAAATCTAAATGACACAAACCTGTTCAAGAAAAACTGATTTTAAAAGCAGTTGGTTTAATGAATGATGATGGAGGCAACATTTATACCAGATATTCTGCTCTCACTTCCAACTGAAACATTAAAGGGAAAAATAAAAAGAAAAGAATAATAGAGTCTTTAATTGGGAGCATTATTTTTTCCAGTCTAGATTAAATTATTCTATAAGCTGAGCTTTCAGATTCATCATTTTTCACCTTGATAAATAACATGAAGGGAATGAAACCACAGGGAACAAAAAACCAACAAAACTACTTGTGTGAGCCTGAGTCTGGAACTCAAAGCCCTATCTGCCTTTTCAGCCTTCTTTTGTGTTTCTTTCTTGAATATGGGAGACCAAACAAGAAGATTTCTTGTCTCCTCAACGAAGGGAGAGAGGGTGCAAGGAGGGAGAGAACTTAAAAATGTAAGATAAAAAATTAAAAATGAACAACCACAACAGAAGGGCATCTAGCTGTTTCCAGTCAACATTCTACATGTATTCCCACTGCGTGTCATGGGATATCTGGCCATCCATACTTCCTTCTTGCCCACCCCACCCACATCTTGCCCTGGGAAGAGTAAACAATCAATACTACTCTCTCTTCTGGAAGGGTCATAATAATGAACTGCAGTAGACATTAACTCACCATCCTGAAACTCTCCAGACAAAAACTCCCTTCCTTGGCCACCACTCACCTATATGTATTAGTCTGCCCATTAGAACATAACCTCCCTATTGGCAGAGAGATCTTACTTTTTTCTCCGAATCCATAACGCTTGGCTCTTAGTAAGTACTTAACAAATGCCCATCTATCCATCTATCCATCCATCCATCCATCCATCCATCCATCCATCCATCCATCCATCCATCCAT